GGGGAGTCACAGCATGGGGGGGGACAGACAGAACGCTGGGGCAGAGCACGCAGCCCGGCAACTTCCCAATCACATCAGCGCTGGGCGGCCGACATCCCGCCAGCCTGGGGCTGGCCCCAGCGCAGCCTCCCGGGCCCCACGTCACGCGGGCATGTCCCAAGGCTGACGTGAGCGCCGGCCCCACGGCCGACGTGCAGGGACCGGGGCGGTGGGTGCCACGGGCACCCGTCCCTACTTTTTCACTTTGGCGTCGTAGGTGCCCGCGTTCTTGTAGGCACTGACGTAGCCGCTGGTGTCCACGATGTTCTCCCGCCCGCTCTTGCCCTTGCCCTTGCCGCTCTCGTCGAAGCGCTCCTTGTGGGAGCCTGTGTACTTGGAGGTGTCCGTCAGCCTCTCCACGGCCCCCACCGTCTTGGCTTTCTGCAGTGGGGAGACAGGCAATGGGAGTCAAGAACATGCCCCATCCCATTCATCCCTTGCCCCACGCAAGCTCCTGACACCCACTGAGGACCCTGACGTGCCCACTGGACCTGTGCAATCGCCAGCCCAGCCAGGGCTATGGGGTCCCCCGGAAAGTGTCTCTGCTCTGCTGCAGGCAGAGCTCCGTCCTCCCCTCCCGACCAGCCCTCCTGCTCCCAGGGGCTCTTCACTCACTGTGACGCCCACGTTAATGGGCTCCTTCCCTGCCACCAGCTGGCAGATGGCTTCATACGCCTCCTCTTTGCTCTTGTCCTTAAATCTCTTGGGGGCCAGCTCCTCCAGCGCCTTCTTGAACTCCTCGTAGTTGATGACGCGGGCCGTCTTCCCTCTGCAAGCACAAAACCCAGGCTGCCATAAGCGCGTCCTCAGGTTGCACCTCCTGCAGCGCAGGATGAGCTGCATCATGGAGACCCCGGCTTTGTCCTCCACCAGCCTCGGGCACCTTGCCCATCTCCGAAACACAGCTACGGCCAGGGCAATCCCAGCTGAATGGGTCGGGCCGGGCACAGCCAGTGCTGAGCTCCAGGAGCTTTTCAGCCACATGCTGTTAAAGCCCTTGATGCTAAAAACCTCGCCCCTGCATGGAGGTGCCCTGGGACTTGGGTGCTGGTGGCAGGAGGGGACACGCATCCGTTCCCACCGCTCCCAGCCTGCATGGGATGACCAGCACCCTCTCTCCCCTGGCAGGCATCAGTCCTTCTCTGGTCAAATTCGGAAGGACGTGCACAGGGCATCTGTCCCACAAGCGCCTGTTCCTCATCTCCGGGGCAGCACAGCAACCCACCCTCTTACGCGCCAAAAACCTCCCGGTGCTCAGACCCTCCTGGCCCCACCAGGGAACAAGGGGATGCCCGGACAGAGGGTGCAGAGGGAGCAGGTTCTCCACCCATCCTTGCTCCTGCACCCTGGTGCAGAGCATTGGGTGTCAGCGTGTCCTCGGGGACCCCGAAAGCAGCCCCAGGCGCCTTTAGCTCTTCAGCTGCCCCTGTGACCTCTAAGGAGCAAAGACCGGAGTCCTTGCCAGGCTCAGGTGTGGACTGGCCAGGCCCAGGGATGGGCTGTGCCACGTCACACAGGACACCCCTGAGCACCCTCCTCTGCTCCCCGCGGCACCTTCTTGCTAGATGGGAACCTAGCAGAACTGGCCAGGGCCACCTCGATGGCTGGGAGCGGGAGCAGGGGCACAGCCTCTGCACCAAAATCTGAGCCCCCCCCCACCCCGCAAATTTGGATTAATTTATTGTCGGCTCTTGCAAAAGCAGCCACTCAAACTCCCTGAAGGCAGGAGGCCGCAGGGCAGCACCCGCTGCTCCATGCCGAGCGCAACATGGGAATGGACAGCTTGGGCATGCAGCCGGGGCGCCACACCTCCCCGGGGACCACCGCACCCAGGCACCGCCACCCTGCCGACACCGCAAGGGCTTCCGCAGCCCCTGAGCGGCTGCAGGCCCCAAAAAGCCAAGTCACTTACTTCACCTTGGAGAAGACAATGTCCACGTCGGTGCTGGTGACGCTTTTGCCGTCGGTGACTTTGCAGTCTTTGCACAGCTTGGCCCAGTTCTTCCCGTTCATTTCTTGCCCCGTAGCCTTGGTGTCGCCGTAGATGGCGAATTTGCGGAAGCTCTCTTCCAGGGACGCCATCTCAGTGCTCCCAGCCATGGGGCTGCAGGACGCGGGGCAGATGGGCCCGTTACCGCCCAGGCTCTGGCTGGCAGCAGCGGCAGAGCTCAGCTGGCTCTGCTCTCAGGTCTGCGAGGGCAGGAGGAGGAGGGCTGGCGAGGGCGGAGGGACTGCAGCAGGAGCAGGGCGTTGGCAGAGCCTGCACGCATGGGGTGAGGGCTGGCGGCAGCCTCTGACAAGCCCCGAGGCCAACAGCCGAGGTGTGTCTCGGGGGATGGAGGCTCCCGATTGAGAGCTGTCAGCAGCGAGGCTGTCAGCTCCAGGGGCTGGCGAGGAGTGAGCGCATCAGCTCGTCCCCTCGGGAGCACTCTCCGGGAATGATGCAATGCGTCCGCCTTCCTCCTGCTCGCCGATCGTGAGAAATGGCACCGCTGCCTGCCTCCAGCCCACCTCTCCCCTGCCAGCTGGCTCTGCCAACGGCCGCATCCTCCTGTGTGGAGCTGGCAGCACCCCAGCTCTGTGACCTGCCCCCCAGGGCTGGGCCAAACACAGTGCCCCGCAGCCAACAGCACCGGGGTGCCAAGTGACGGACGGGCCTCTGCGCCCCCGCACAGCGCTGTGGCCGCTGCCCCATCCCGGCTCCCCGCCTGCCGTCGCCTCGCCAGCCTCGCCCTGCCAGCTCAGCATCCTTGCCACGTACTGGGCAACCACAGCATCTCAGCCAGGGCTGGGCCAAGCGGTGCCCGAGTGCGGCCCCGGCACCCCGAGGCGCAGAGCGGGTACCTCGCCCAGTGCCCGGGCACGGGGGGGGCAGGATGGGCCC